CTACATTCGTAGGTAGGATACATATCTCATACGAAAGGGCGTATACATACTTACACTCTGACTGCTGCCCGCCAAAATCGACTGTGGGGGCTGATGAGTGCGATCCACTATATTCAGGAAAGAAGAAAGTGTTTGACATATATTAGCATTCCAAGTATTATCCTTTTACATCCTACACCATTAAATTTTGAGTGAGAAATTCGTTTTCAAAACTTTTATACTAGTCAAGGTTGTGACCTTCAACCCCATAAAATTATAACCTCCTCGATGTAACATTGACCGTGACATTCAGTGTTACCCTAGAGTAGGATATAAAGTTTTTGTTTTTTTAATTTTCAGCTTTAGGTTAAATTCAGTCAAATTATTTAGTTGTCTCTCAAAACTTTACTGTATACCCATATTTTCCCTGTTAATATTCGGCTTAACTTTTCTTGCTCAAGGCATGCCACATTTACTTATATATTATTGGCTCTTTTAACTATTGTAAGCTTTTTACAAAATCTAATCTTTCATTCTTGAATCAGATGTTTTTAAGGGGTTGGTGAACAGGCAATGGGTGTCCAACACTCGCTTCGCTGTTCTAATGATAATTCTTTGAAATCTTTAACTTAATACATGACAAACAAACTACACCTATTTTCCTCTGCCTCGGCCTCATTTATTTAATTTGTTAATTCAGGTATCCCTGATTCATCTACTATGTAAATATTATATTCTTCTTTGCCCTACCTTCAATCCCCGAACAAAAAAGAGTAATATGAACACCGCTAGTTATCGAATACTTTAGTTTGTTTTACGATAACTTATTCCTCAGTTATTCCATCCGGTGAAAGTTTGACCCCCATGAAGTTAATGCACTCTGCATAATTTTATAACAAGTCATGTCAAAATTACCAAACTTTAAAGGAAAAAATAGATATGAAAAAAAATGTCAACATTACCTGGCGCAGTACCTTCTGCGCTCGTCTGCGCTTTCCTTTTTGTCCCCTTAGACATGATTTAAAAAGTTCGCTAAAACAAAAAAGACTTGAATAAGAATATACTTACATGAGTTTCCATTTCATATGAGATTGATGAAACGAATCTAATAATTTTTCAATTAAGCGAGCCTCTGGCGAGCTATAATGAAAAATTCGTGACGAATTACATAAATTTCATATGTAATGAAAACGAGTGTAAGATCCTTTTTATCATATGATAAAGATTTGTGGCATTTGATTGTGTAAAACGACAATTTTCGTGCAACCTTGACTAGTAAAAAGACGTCATTTTGACACTAGTGCGTAAGTCTGTGACGTCATGTACTTGTCCTAGCGTGACGTCACAATTGAAACAATTGAAACTTACAACCAATCACAGGGCTGATAGGTCATATTATATGGGTTAATACGCAAAACAATATGACATGGGTATATCCACTGGATATTACAGTACATTATGTGATAAATATACTTAAGCAACAATTGATTATAATATATGTGCATGATTTGATTATGAGATAGTTTTAACCTAGTGTGTAGAAAAATCTTCTATTTCTCACCACAAATCAATTTCTCGGACCCAACCTCAACTCCTTTCAGCATACCTCAACTCCTCCGCCCCACCTCAACTCCTCTCCTCAACCTCTTTTTACCACAGCTCAACTCATCCTACCACCGAAACTCCTTCCACTTCACCTCAACTCATCCGCCACACCTCGCCTCAACTCCTTTAACCACAACTCAACTTCTCCCATCCAACCTCAACTCCTCCCCTTTCACCTAAACTCCTCCCACCTCATCTCAACTCCTCCCACCTCATCTCAACTCTTCCTTCTTCACTTAAACTCCTCGCACCTCATCTCAACTTTTCCTTCCTCACCTTAACTCCTCACACCTTATTTCAACTCTTCACACCTCATTTCAACTCTTCCCATCTCATCTCAACTCTTCCTTCCTCACCTTAACTCCTCCTCCCTCATCTCAACTCTTTCTTCCTCACCTAAACTCCTCACACCTCACCTCAAATCCACCCATCTTATCTCTCTAAAATTTGTTTAGTAGTTTTAGAGTAACAATGGCATTGACCTTCTGCGGAAACGAAAAATACAATGAACTTGCCTAATTTTCCTTGAAACCTGTAACAAGTTTTCAATTCAAGATATTTAATTGTTACAAAACAAAGGGATTAGTCATCGGATATGGTCTATATAAGTTTTCTCTCATACCAGATTTAACTAAGTCCGTTACGCGTTGTATTGATATCCATCAACACATGAAGTTGTCAAAGATGATGTCACAGAGCAATGCATAGTGTTCCGCAACGAATGTAGAAATACAGCGTAAAGGTATCAAACTACATCAAACACAATCACTATAAGTATATAAACAGCTACAATAAACAATCAAACTGATGTCATGTCATGAATCTTGATTACCTGTTGACGGTGTAGAACAAACGTGTTGAAAGGTTACAGTGTAGTTACTAGTAGTTGTTGGTTAGTTACTAGTATCTGTTGGTTAGTTACTAGTAGCTGTTGGTAAGTTAATAGTAGCTGTTAGTTAGTTACTAGTAGTTGTAGGTTAGTTACTAGTCGCTGTTGGTTAGTTAATAGTAGCTGTTGGTTAGTTAATAGTAGTTGTAGGTTAGTTACTAGTTGCTGTTGGTTAGTTACTAGTAGCTGTTGGTTAGTTAGTAGTAGCTGTAGGTTTGTTACTAGTCGCTGTTGGTTAGTTAATAGTAGCTGTAGGTTAGTTACTAGTCGTTGTTGGTTAGTTACTAGTAGTTGTAGGTTAGTTACTAGTCGCTGTTGGTTAGTTACTAGTAGCTGTTGGTTAGTTACTAGTAGTTGTAGGTTAGTTACTAGTCGCTGTTGGTTAGTTAATAGTAGCTGTAGGTTAGTTACTAGTCGCTGTTGGTTAGTTACTAGTAGTTGTTGGTTAGTTAATAGTAGCTGTAGGTTAGTTACTAGTCGCTGTTGGTTAGTTAATAGTAGCTGTTGGTTAGTTACTAGTAGTTGTAGGTTAGTTACTAGTCGCTGTTAGTTAGTTACTAGTAGCTGTTGGTTAGTTACTAGTAGCTGTAGGTTTGTTACTAGTTGCTGTTGGTTAGTTACTAGTAGCTGTTGGTTAGTTACTAGTAGCTGGTGGTAAGTTACTAGTAGTTGTAGGTTAGTTACTAGTAGCTGTTGGTTAGTTACTAGTCGCTGTTGGACGTCTGCTGCCGTCAAATCACAGCTGGGCAATGGAGGACGTGTAGCTAGATTAGGGTAGGTGAAAATAAGGCCTATTGTGACGTCACCAAATTCATGATATTCATTAGGAATAGATACAGTTCATAGAACTTTGACCTAATCGTTACAATATCATAAGGGCATCAGACAGTATCTAACAAAATGCAGCTAAATTATTTTCAATGAAAAATTTATAATGGATATTGATTTATTGATCCAATAGTTATGAATTATCTTAAGAGAAAAATGATATACTTGTTTATTGGTCCTATCTTTGCACCAACATGATACAAGTTGATGATGAATAATCCCGGTTAAACTGAACTCTACTTTCATTAGCGGAGGGGGGGGGGGGGGGGTGTTATAATGGAAACATGTATTATCCAAATATATTCCGAGAGGGGGGAAAATATACACATAAGAAGAGAAATAGAAAAAAATATATAAATGCATTGATTAACACAATAAAAGACCACTTTAATGTGCAAAAATATATAGCAATTAGCACAGGATATAGTGCTTAAGAAAGTTTTGAAAAAGAATGGAAGAAGTGGAGAAAACTTGTTGGTCTATAAGGGTTTTTTTTCTTGTTTTTGTTTAAATCTGAGTAACTAATGATAAAAACATGTACCTGCTGCCTTTGTTTTCGTTCATATTGTTGTCAAATACTTCTGATAACATAACCTCATCCGACATATTTTATTGAACATTTTATGGAATTTTAAAATAAGACACCGGGATGAAAATTAGCCAATGAGGTCCCCCTTCGTTTGTATCAGAGCTGGTGTTCAGAAACAGGTTTTGTACTTGGTTCGGTTTTTTATTTTAGTTGATAGGAATCATATTTCGGGATACACAACAATAAGATTAAATCAATTACAACAGTTTTCGACGATAGTGCTATCTTTCTCACGCTTCATTAAAAACTAAATTCGAGAGAAATTGTAGTGAAGTCGAACTTTAAATCGATAAAATCTTGGTGAACATTTAACAAAGAAAAAAAGTTTAAGACATCAATGAACAATGTTAATAGGACCAGAACCCGTATTCATAAACCGTTGTCATGCTCAAGCATAAATTCTGTTCTCAAACCAACTTTCCTATAACGTATAGGAAACTGTACCTTAAAACATGTCAAACGATCAAAAAGTCACATGTAAACGTTGGTAACAGTGTTTGGCTTTATAGCTCCTTAATTTGTTTCCATATCATGGACAAAATAAGATTGTATTATTATTTTTAAAACGAAACAAGAAATAAGGCGTTAGCAAATAATTAATGTTGGAGCATGAGAACAGTTTCAAGAATACGGGGCCAGGTGTTTCGGAAGGGTAAGCGTCTTCATCTTTATCGATGTCATCCGCCTTGTAAATCTAGGTAAAATCTAAGTAATGTCACGTCACAATAGCGAGAACCGGAAAAGTGACAACCAACCAGTATGACGTACTAATGAACATAATAAAAACACATTAACCTTCAGAAATAAAGGATAGAAATCAAAATATTTCTGTATGAGAAATAGAACGCGACAATAGAACTTGCCCATAACCTTCAACAACATGCATATATTGAAACCCTGTATTTGAACACGTTTTATGGCTGCCATCATGATTTCGTAGAGAAATATAATATTTCTTGTATGTGCATGTGTATGTATTATCCACAAGGTGGTGCACATGTGTTTAATATTAACTTAATGCTTAATTAAGTTTTCGATTTTGTTATGACATATTCCAGGGGTGCAGAGAGCGTTAAGTGAGCGTAACCCCGGAGTATCGAGGATGATATAAACTGCATGAGCCGAAATAGTCAACGTTTGCACATTATTGACAGATGGGTAAATACATAAGGGCACAAAATAATCTTCTGCCACACAAAAATGAAAATTATCGATCTTCTTCTGATTGCTGCCTTAACTGGTGGGCGGGTAATTGCGAAGAATACTTTCGGCTGACGGATTTTTCTGGCGTTATTTCCCCCTTGACACCACTTTCAACAGCCAACAGTACCACTGTACACCTGTGACCATGCAGTTACATACAGCCCTACGGCTATCGTAAAACATGTAGTCAATATTATGGAATTTAAAAATTAATTCGATTCGGTGCCTTACAATACTATTTATAATTCGTAACATATTTAATGAAGAATAAATAACGTGTCTTGTGATACATATTTGTCATGGCTTAAAACCTCCCCCCTTTTTCTTAGTCTTCTCCCCCGGAGACAACACTTTACAACCCAGGTTCAGCTATCCCCTTGTCAATCATTCACCCAGTGCTTGTAGCCGAGTTTCCTGACACCGGACTTGGACATTTTGACAGAGAGACGTATGGTGTTGGACTAGATCACACTACCATATGAAAAAATGTTGCTGCTGCTTCCTTGAGCACATTGGGGCTAAGAAGATGTAATCATACAGCTTTACACATTTCTAAATGCAGTATGACACCCTGTGTACATAAGAATACATTAAAATATCATAACAAATGAAGTGCGAAATAAAATTTGAAGTTTGACTAATCTTTAATCATCATGATCTACCGTTTAAATTTCCCCACAAGGACATAGGTGTGTTGTTAGTCAGCTCACATACAGGAAGCAAACAGCATATTGGGACTCATAAGGAGATCATTAGATTATTTGGGTCGGATTTCTTTCAAAACACTTTTCATGTCATTAGTAAAACATCAACTAGAATATGCATCCAGTGTATGAAGTTCACATAAAATTAAAGATATTGAATGCATAGAAAAGGTACACAGAAGAGCCACGAAACTATTACATACCAGGTTTGGAA